CCACGATATGAATGCACTGACCTATACTAGTTAATGTAAATGTTTGCAATATGCGTCATCGCACTGGAGAGAATCGCTACTTGTTTTATAACGAAACGTTTGCTTCTGGACATCGGTCACTGTCGCTTTCCCAAAACACCGGTTTTTCTCCGAAATAAAAATTTTCGTTAATTATTTGACTGGTAGGTGCTATTTAGTTTAATACAGTGTCGAAAAACTTTGGGTATCATTCCAAACCAATACTGCTGATAAAAATTAAGCACCACTAATCATGTTACTACCAGTGATAAACGGAGGCTAATCCACAAGTAGTATTGTCATGACAAACGCAGAAATCGTAAATGCGAGTTCTGTCATAGGCGGCAGGCTGGTATATATCAGTGTCTTGCAGCTTTTTATCCTAAGTAACCTAGGAACAAATGATACAAATTCCGAAAAAGTCTTACTTTGTTGAAAAATACAGCATTACATGCTTGTTTTACAGCTCGATCCATATCCGTGTCCGCAAAGATGATCAATGGTGATTTGCCGCCAAGCTCCAAGGAAACTTTCTTGACGTTCGAAACTGCACCTCTAAAGTGAAAACTATGGCAAGCCTTCACACGTCTTTCAAAACTGACATAACAAATTTCAAATACAAAGGACAGTAGTGCACTCCACTTTTTCACAGGAAATAAAAAGCAGTGTAAAAACTTTAACCTGCTCATGACCTGTTTCCCAACATTGGTCGACCCAGTAAAGCCAACTTTCCGAACCTCAGGATGTTCACATAAGGCACGTCCAACTTCAGGGCCTGATCCAGTAACAATATTGATAACGCCCGGGGGAATTCCTGCTCGTGCCGACAATTCCGCAAATTTCAGCGCCGTTAATGGCGTCACCAGAAAGTTAAAATCAAGATTACTATGTAGCATTTTTATTGTTCTTTGCCACGTCTGACATAAAAATTCAAAGGCTTGATTTTTGAACTTTCCATTCGAATTTTCTTACTTCCTGGGGGCTGCAGACCAGGAGAAATGGAGTGTGCGAAAGTAATGAGAACTGCTCAGACATGTCTGTCATTTCATAATTCCCTTTTCAATTCTTTTTTTGTGTGTGTTCTTTCACTTCTGCTACCCCTATACGCTTCTCCTGTCAATTTTTTGAGAAAAGTGAAGAAAGTGCCTACGATGGCGCCAACAAAAAGCAAAAAAGTAAAATCAGAAGGCTTATTTAATGAGTGAAACTAAGATACCTCTGCAGGTTTTAACACAACGGTATTGCCAGCAGCAAGACACGGAGACATTTTCCA